AGAGAGAGAGAGAGAGCACTTAATACAATCATCGCCAAGTAAATAATAGTAAACAAAGGAAATTCATTTTGGAAAGGACAACGCGTGACACCTTTTTCTTCTTCACATTTTGTGCATATATCGAATTAAATGATTTATAAGTATCTTTTGGCAATTAGAGATGTACAGAAATGTTAATTGATTTTTGTGCGCCTGTGTCGATAATTGCTACTGATATTTTCTGAGTATAAAAAAAAATATAAACACTTTGAAACTCCTGTGTCCTTTCTAAAATGATTAATTTGAAGTATTATGTTTTTTTTTTTTTTTTTTTTAATTGGACAAGCTTGTTGTGTGATATATGTATTTATAATTTATGCTCGATTAATCTCAATTAATTTGTTTAATAAATTTATGTGTTGGTATTAGTTATAATTAGACGATTTAATTGCGATTCGACTGTTCGAGATATTTGATGATCGAGCATTATATTGATAATAATTGGTATAAATAACATTTTCGGAATTTTCATAAATTCTCATAGAATTCTCGACGTTTCAGCAACAATTAAATAAAGCTTAAACAAAGTAACGAGTGTTGAACCTTTTTCGTAAAGAAGGAACATTTATACATAAAAGTTATTATATATAAAAGTTCTTTCTTCGAATCTATCGTATATATCTATATGTAAGTTCTTTTACTGAAAAATTAAGTTTTCTGGCTTAAGTGCTTTCTCTCTGGGGCCAGAGATACAGAGTAGGAAAAGGAGGAGAGATACAGGAAGAAGGAGGCGATAAAGAGAAAGAGAAACCGAGAAAGGACGAAATCCGCGAGGCTTCCACCACGTGTCCCTCGTTCCTCTCGATTGTACACGCGTAAGAACAATTTTATTAAGGGTGCACGATCTTTCCGACGTGCTTTTTTTTTTTATCACAGAAACTGGGGAGTGCCTCTATTTTGGATGTTCCCCTTGCACAGTACGCTTCGGCCCATCGGTGATTGTCGCACGGGAGTTTGACATCGATTTAACCTTTGAACTATCAGACGATTTCTTCTCAAAGCTTGCTTGCTTGAATTGTTTAAATCGTTGCTCCGGCATTACTTTCAGCCACTTAAATGGCATTTCATATTCCATTGCAAAAGTAAGAAAGAAAGGGAAAAAAGTTTCACGATTCAACACAAAAAATTTTGAAAATGTTAATAAAATAACAATAATATACGTTAACATTAAGAATAAACATCTTTGAAAAAAAGATATCTAGTTTTTTAGGTATTAAATATTATTCAAAAATATTCAACGAATAAAACGAATAAAGCTATCTTTCTTTACGTTCTTTGTATTTCATAAATTGTAAGCTTTACTGATGCTGTTGTTTTATTTGAAATAAAACAACTACTCTTAGAATGACACAATCGTTTTTTTTATGCTTTAAATCAATTTCGGTTTTATACTCTTGAAAATAGCTGATTTTTTTTTTAATGTATGCAAAATGCATTTGTGGTACTTAGAAATTTGATGCGCTTCACCAGTGGGTCGGTCAGCGCTAAATCTTTTTAATCCTGGATGAATAATTCCGGTATGTTCAATTCATTTTGTAACCTTTTTATGTGTAACACGAAATCGGTAGCATTCCGTTAATGGTGCTACACCAATGCATCAATGTTTAATATTATTGACAATTTAATGCATGTTTCATATGTTAATGCAATGGATTCCCCCTGTCTAGCGTTATTATTATTATTCAAATACGTGTATACGTTTGACGTCATGTCGTATTTTTTTTTGAATATGATACGAGAGAGAGAGAGAGAGAGAGAGAGAGAGAGAGAGAGAGAGAGAGAGAGAGAT